AACACAGTTTACAAAAACGTTGCTATACCTATGCTTTTTAAAATAGTTGGTCTTGATTTGCAAAACCCCTGCTTTGCACATGGACAACTTTATGTAGGATGCTCAAGAACAGGAGACAGAAAAAAAACCCCTATTTATTTTAGCTCCTAAGGGAAGGACAATGAATGTAATATACAAGAGGAAGCTTTACTATCGGAATTATTTTGCTCTTTTTAATTTTTTAATTTGTTTTAATTTAATCTATTTGTTAATTAATAGTCGTAATTTAGTTATTTGTTATTCATTATTATATTTTGCCATATACATGTAGATGTAAAATTGTTAAATATAATTGTTATATTAAATCAATATATTCTTAAACTGAATTGTTAAATTATATGCCCAAAATCATAATAATTATTTGAATTTCAAAATAAAATTAATTAAAATCCAAATGCTGTATGGTTTCAATATCCAGTTTTCTAATTGATTTGTTTTACATAATACTTTTACTGAATATAAGAAAAAAATATGGCCAAACTCCACTTTCAATGTTAACCCATGGAGCGAGCAGGGGCAGAGCCCCTGTTTTGAGCACAGTGAGCTATGAGGTTGGCTAATAAAGCCAGCAGGGGTTGGCCCCTAATGTATAAAATCAATTAAAAAAGCAAACTATCACATTGAAGACCTAACCAGATATAGGCAGGGTTGTGAATCTCCTGGTGGTGGCTGAGATCTCCTGAAATTACAACTGATCTCCAGGCAACAGAATTCTGTTCTCCTGGAGGAAATGGCTGCTTTGCTATGGCATTATACCCCTCTGAGGTCCCTCACCTCACCTCCCTTCCCCAAACCCCACTCTCCCCAGGCTACACTCCAGGTAGTAGGGTAAAGCCATGAGCCATCCCCTAATCTAGATTAAATGTTCTCCAGGAGAGGAAAGTTTTTGCTCCCATTTGAAAGGTTCGGGGGGGGGGGTGGCTGTCCAATTAGGCACCTATTTTAGGTAGAGTTGCCAACTGCAGGTTCAGAAATTCCTGGAGATCAGAGGATGGAAGGGGCAGGAACTCAGCAGGGGTGTGATTCCATAGAATCTACAATGCTAAACTGCCATTTCCTCCAGGGGAAATGGCCTCTGTAGTCTGGAGGTGAGTTGTAAATTCTGAGAGAACTCCAGATGCCCCACCTGGAGGTTGGCAACCCTAATGGGTCTCTTAAGGCATCCAGACTCTGGGGCATGATAATGGCAGACTGCAGATATCTCAGTTGCTGTTGGGGCATGGATAATGCGAATGGAGTGCCTTTTGCCACTGCATCCCAGTTTATATTACTTGGGGAGGAGAGGGAGAATGGCTGGGAGACCTCAGTTCTTTCATAAAGAATGCTACAGCAGGAGTGAACGCCTGTGCATGGTGTTTCATATACACTGGGAATCATGGGAATGAAGACTGTATCTCACCCATCCAATTCACACTGTTTGTCCATGAGTCATTTTCAGTAAACTTTCTCTAAACCAGAGTGAGACACTACCTTGTATTAACTGATACACACCATTTGCCACTGACTTGTGCACCCCTTGGCTGATTTACACTCTCTTGTGTGAGGAGCTTGTCCTTGATCATATGGAGAAGAGAACTGGCACCTCTCAAAGTCATGTTCAGTCACTCAGATAACAGTCTTAGCTACTTGAAATGACAGAGTGACCCAAAGGACACAGGCACTGCTAGCCACTGACTGATGCCCTTGCCTCATTACACACAGTGTCATGTTTGTTCACTCTGGGATTGATTCTTGCCTGACAGATGGAGGGAGAAAATAACTGAACCAGATAACTTTGTGCCTGTAGCAGAGACAGTGGTCCTTTCCGCACTAGACGTTAAATCCTGGTTCAACCCTGTCCCCGAACTTACATTCTACACTAAACGTGAGTTCACCCCTGTAATTATCTCGGGGTATTTTTTGTTTCCACATTACATTGTGGTCACCCTGGTTTCACCCCACACTTGTCCTGGGATAAACAGATGCTGTTATAACCAGGGATAAATGCAAGATGTTGTGTCCCGAGTTGAACTTTGATAAAAACAGGGATGAGATCCAAGTGCAGAAAGGACCAGTGAGTAGGTATTGTCCCTTTATAGATCATGGTGTGGCCAGCATTTTTTTTAAAAGTCATATCCAGAAATACACTGCTGGATACCCTGAAAAAACAACTCCTGTACCTAGGCTGGCTCAGCTGTTCTCTGCCATTCCCAGGCGTTTGTAAATGCTAACTGTGACTCAGCTAAAAGTCTTGAGAGCCACTGAGACCAGAGAGTGAGGAGTAAGTACACTTTGCATGGGCAGGCAGGTGAAAAGCTACTCACCACACTACTCCCACATCACAGCTGTGTCATGCATGTGCGTGTACATGGATCTATATAACTTGCCTGAAGCAGAGTGGATCATCTTGCCAGGGATGGGTATGAACCAGTTCACGAGCAAAAATTCAGCCTGAACTTGGTCCTGTTAGAAGCCCCTGAACTGGTTAGAAGCCTTCCCTGAACATTTCCCAGACTTTTGTCCTGTTTGGTTTGGCTGTCTGAGACATTTAAACATAACAGCTGACTGACACAGGTCCACAGCTCACCTGTTAGGTTTAAATGGCTGGCAGCCATTAAACCCGTCTGTTTCTCATCCCCTTGCCTCAAAGCTTCCTGGGCAATTCCCCCCTTTCTCTTGGCCACAGCTTGCCACAGCCAAGAGAAAGGATGGCCTAAACTGGCTGGTTCAGTTTCGGCATTTTTTGGCTCTGTTCAGGTTTGGTTTGGTTCAGGAACCGCCCCAAACCCAAACCGAACCAAAATTGTCAGGTTCGTCCCCATCCCTACATCTTACATCAAAAACAACAACAATATGACCAATAGTAGAAATACCAACAACCAGGGGTCTTTTGGGGCCAGAGCATGCCAGAGCACCGCTCTGGGAGCCCAGGAGCTGGCAAAATGGCGGTGGCAGCAAGCCCCGCCCGCCAGCTCCCCCC